ACATTTTTTTGAGAAATCAACTTCTTTCGTAACAGTGTATATGCCGTTAAAATTTGTCGGATAAGTTGTGAAACGCTGTATTTGAAATATATGTAATAGGTGCTTAGAATTATCGGAGTTAAGAGCGTATAAATATACTTATACTATGATATTTTTTCATCAATTTACTGCCAGAAAAAAGTTAAAAACTTTAAAGCTTGATTGATAAATTCACATTCTGGAGTTTTCGAGTCGCTGACTACGAATCTATTATCTAAATCTCCACACTTCCTGCAAAACATTTTTTTCAGTTTAAAGGTCAGGTTTCCAAAAATGTGATTACCAAACCATTATTATACAGTTTTTACTTAGCTCGAATCTGGTAATGTGAGTTAATTGTTTTTACTTTCTACCGCATTGAGCTCGGTATTGTAATCGCAAAAAATTTCGAAACTGAGATTATGTTTTTTGAATGTTGTAAGTATGGCGTACATCACATAAAACATTGTACTAAATTTCATCGGCTCTGACTTTGAGTCAATTTTTATACGAGATTATTACTATGAAACGAAAAAGCTTTGTAGCTTTGGAGGCAAAAAGTCCAAAAACAAAAAAAAATAAAGTCACTCAAACTTCTTTTTTTGACGTTTTAGAGGGTCCGGATCATTTTCTGAAAGACTTTTGTAGGCGTTCAAATTCAGAGGTTGGGGGTTGTGTAGGAGGTGTGGGAGGTTATATGATTTTTTCTTGATCTTATTATATTTATATACTCCCAACCCCGGTAATTCTATGTACCTATATTTCACAAATCATATATTTTCCCGTACATTTGCGAACATGTTTTCGATCCGCCTACTCCTGCCTGTCTAAGTTCACCGAGTGGCGAACGGCACGGGTATTATGGAAAAAACCTATAAAACGTCAAAAAAATCCTATAAAATGGCATAGGTAGTTCTTAGGGTGCAAACAGTCATTCCACGTTTGCTCACTAGGATCATTGTGAGCGCCCATCTATGGAGAAATGACTCAACTACACGCATTGTTGGTTGCATATGTTTTGTGAAACTTCGAGGAGAATTACGGGAAATCACCGCCGCGCCCGCGTTGTGTGTAAAAGGGTAAGAAAAAGTGGATGCGCAACTAATTTCTAGCTTTGGTTCTCAACTAAATGTATTTGAGACAAGAATCCAGTGGAATTATCATCAACACATATTACTACAACACAAATCCTCACTGTGCACCTATGCATTGCCGTTTCCTTCTAGCTATACACATCACATCAGAGCCAAGCATTGATAGGCAACATGTACAACTAAAAAACGAGTTCACGTCGTGTCCATCAGCTAGTGCTGAGTTAAGGTCTTGTAGAAAATGTCACAAAAAACCAATACAATGTCAAAAAAATCGACATAATGCCATTTTTCAAGATATGTAATACCCGCGCCGATCCAGGTTATATACGAGTACTGTTACATACTGAAGACTGAAGTACAACTTATTAATGTATGGGCCTGTTTGACTGACTTATTACGTTTAACTTCTCTCTTGTATACTCCTACATGTCCGTCACCCCTATATACCAGTTATTCTATGCATTACTTATCTATTCTCCCACGTTAGAATGTCCTAACTCCACTGTGTCCCTATCACAATTACTTGAATATATTGTCTTATGTTCAAATATTACGAGCTTACAAACACAGAACGTCCTAACTATAAATTACAAATTTCATTAAAATGGCAAGGGCGTTTTCATTAAGAAATGCAGGATTGTATGGGCCTGTTTGACTGACTTGAAATTTCATCCTTTATGAACAGATGACTCCATTGTTTAGGAAGTGCAGAGTCAACCCAGTTGACGCCATATTCTCTGGAGGCCAGCATGAGAGACCTCGATTGATTACCATGGTTTCAAATGTATTATACGTTGTTGTTCAAAAGTTATTTATGAGGAACCCATTTCTAGTGAACCTGTCTCTCCGTAGAGTAATCCCGTAGGATATTTTTTAATATAAATTTTATTTTTTGTGCATGTACCCTTTCGCTGTCTTGGTTACTTACCGCACGCGCAGCGGTTCAAAAGTCCTAAAACATGGCAAAAACTAGAAAAGTAAATTTCACCAATGATATACCATGATTTCCTAGCAAAAATCAAAATGGGGGATCCAATACAGCGGTCATGTCTGCAAAAAATATTTCGATTGCGCTCAAATTGGAGTTCTTATATCCGCCGTCATCTGATGTACGAGCCCCTTCCCACTTCAGTTGGTCCACTTCAAGATTTGTACCAAAATATGCTTTTATAAACTAAACATGACGAAACTATTTACTTCTAAAACAACTTATTTTCTCAGAAACATTTTAGATACACTCCAGTCTTAAAAAATACCTATTTAAAATCATTTAGACCTATAAGTATAATAGAACATCTGAACAAATAAACAATGTGCGAATAAATGTGCGAAGTTAGCAAAGCAACAATTGAAAGATTACCATTGGGTAACATCACCTTTATTTTTTATTACGGCTGAAATTCTTTGGGGCATAGTGTTAACCAAGTTTTGGCAAAAAACAATCCCATATTTCTTGAAGCTTTTGTCTCAGTTCGGTGATTGTACGAGCAGGATGTTGTCGTAACCTTTTTCATCTCGTGCCACAAAGTTTCAATAGGTGACAGATCTGGACTGCTAGAAACCCATTTCAAAAGTGGTACATTATTTTCTTCCATCCATTTTATAGCCTTTTTTGAGGTATGGCACGCTGCACCATCTTGCTGAAACACAAAATCTTGGCCGGATGTTAAACATTCTTCCATCACTGGTAAAAGCGATTCTTCTAAAATTGCCTAATATTTGTTTGTATTCACATTTCCAACAATAAAATGAAGTTTTCCTACTCCTCTTGATGACATAATGCCCCAGACCATAATAAATGTTGGAAATTTCACTTTTCTCTTCTCACAGTCAACGTGGAATGCTTCATTTATTTTGCGAATAACTCTACTGCGATTGTCACCAACACAAACTTCGAATCGGGCCTCATCACTCCATTGAATTGCACACCATTGTTGAGGTGTCCATTGTCTATGTTCTTTAGCCCATCTAAGCCGATTTTATTTTGCAGTGGAGTTAATAGCGGTTTTGCTTTGGCCTATAAACAAGTTGTGCAACTTTAGGGTTTTCACTTCACTTTTTTTTTATAAGAAAACTTACCTTGCAAGTGCTAAATCCCAGTTTGTGGGCCTCTCTATGAGTTGTGGACCCCGAAATTCTCCTTCCAACAGCGTCACTCCACAGAGCACTTAATTGTAAATAATTGGCACGCCTGTTTTCATTGTTAATATATTAAACCTATAACACCACAGACTACTAAAGAATATTCTTTAGTAGTCTGTGTATAACACCCTGCTAAATTTTTATTATTTGTGTTTGATAAGAAAAAAACTAAGATTTCAATTGTTGGGCCAACTGAAGTGGGAAGCGGCTCGTAGTTTTCTTCGTATTCTTCGGACTCCGTTGATAACGAATTCAGTAAAATCAAAATGGTGATTCCAACATTGCGAACATGTTTGTAAGAAAATGTGTTGATTGCTCTCAAATTCGTGTTGTTTACGTTTTTGAGATGGCTGATCACGCATTTGATATCGATTAACATATTTCTTAAGTGGGTGATAAATATATTATTGTGTAGTACGTGTCGATTGGCGAGTAATAGAATGCTATATCATAATTATACAGGATGTTTCAAATTCGACGATCACCAAGAGATACGAAATCGCTGCTGGGTGCAAAATTGCGTATTTTGAACAAATAATAATATATAATATAATAATAATTAAATATTAAAATGCGTTTTAGTTTTCTCCTAACTTTATTTGTAGTGGAATTTTAAAATAAATTGCACAATGACATTGCCACATTTTTGCCTCTACAAGATGACATCAAAGTTTTTGATTCTGATTCCTGATTTCAAAAATGTATAATATGTTGTACATTGGCATTGCCAAACCTTAGTTATTCCAGAAAAACAGAAGTTCCTAGGTAAACCTTGAAATTATTAGATTTCATTTGTTTCGTATACCAGACCAGACCTCAAATTGAACATAGCAACAGAATTTGAAAGACTGAGAAGAAAAGGAATAAATCGAGCAGTGAACAATGAAAGATAGGAGTCAGACTTTGCCTACAAAATAACGGACAACATTTTGAACATCTACGAAGATTTACCTATGCTTATTTATGATTATTATTACAATGAATAGTTTTCATTTTGTGTTCAGGTTTCACCATACCTTTTTATTCCGTTATAATTATCATCCAACAAGAAATCTAAGGCCAATTAAGGTAATACGAAAGAAGAAATGTTGAATTGAAATTTTCACTATGCCATCTTATAGAGGAGGATAAGTTACAATGAAACTATTCATCTGTGCAAAAATCCAATATGGCGACCATAAGAAAAAATAAAGTTGATGCTGTAGGACAAGAGATGAAACGGCATATTGAATTTCTAATTATGCCTTCCTGTAGAGGAGAACAAGTAGTAATCTTAATGTGCAATTTATTTTGAAATCCCACTACAAATAAACTCAGGGAAAAATGAAAACGATTTTGGAAAAATTCGTTTTCTTCCGTCTCCTTAGAAGTACTATGAATTTTGAAACTTTCTGAGCCGCATTTTATTGATTACCTAATTAGAAACTCCCTCCTTTATAACTTTGACTTAGCAATCCATTTTGCCACATCTCAATACAGCTGCTTATTTTATAACGTGGCATTATACGATTATGTACACTTTTTTGACAAGAGCCTCTTTTTAACTATTTTTACCTTTAGCATAATTCCGTATACAAAGCTATCTAAGTGGAACTACGAGATATAAAGTTATCAAGAGTTCATTAAAAATCTGGAGTTAAACAAGAAAACACTTTTTTTTGAGACTGCATCCAGGTTTTTTGGTTCACTTTGAGACTGACAGATTACTGTTCAAGAGTGAAAATATTATTTTCATTATTTTTACAGATGGGTACGTATGCGGCCGATGTTTTCCAGAAAGAATGCCAGTTCCGCTATATGCAACCATCGCCGAGCATTTCACGTTTCCATGTTCCTTCGCAGATTGTGATGCAGAACTGAAGTGGGGAGATGTGAAAGAACACGAAAGCCTCTGCTTTTTTCGCGATATGTCATGCCCATACATTGGATGCGTTGAAACTTACAAGTTAATGTATTGCCTATCTCATTTCAAAGTGATGCATGTAGTGCATTATGGAATATTCTGCAGTGATTATATAAGTGTAAATGTATTAAATTACGTTGCAGACTTACATTGTATAGCTTACAAAGAAAACGTATTTTTAGTATTCATCAAATTATCTAGAGACCCTACGAATGGCAACATCGAAGCCCGATTTAGTGTAACTTTTGCTGCTATTGAAACTGATGGCTCTCGAATAGAATGTGAAGTTAAAATAATGATAAATCCCGATAATACCGTTAAGAAAGTATTCAAATTTGACGATATGGAAGAGTATACTGATACACAGCATTGCCTAGGTTGTTCGGGTGGATTCTGTGATAAGCCAGGTCATCGAAACAATGGCAGCATTTCTTTCACTAACGTCTTAGAGTTTAGAACAGAAAACTTATTTTCCTACTCTATTAGAATATATGAGAAAAAGACTAGTGGTAGTCGCATTGCTGAATGCCCCGTTTGCTATGTTGTTTTCGATAGTCCCATATACCAATGTCTCACAGGACACTCATTCTGTTCAACCTGTTACAACTCTCTGAGTACTTGTCCCATATGTAGAGTTCAAATATCTGGAGAACCGATCAGAAACTTTGCTCTTGAAGGAATAATGAAAGAGTGCGATAAGGTTTATCCAGATTAATATCGTAAATTTTTGTCTCGGTATTTATTGCGCTGCAGTACGGATAGATTAGTCAGTCCGACCGGTACGCCGGTCGGTGAGCTTAGTCGGCAGGAATACGCGAATCGAGAACAATTCTCTATCATTCTCAGTTTTAAAGACAAATGTTCAAGGAAATGTATGATGAGCGAAATATGACTAATACTCGTTGGTACGTAGCAGTACCGAGGTTGAGAGCGTATAAATATAACATCAAAACAATTTCAACCTCAGGCAAATGTTTTCTGAAAATGATCAGGAGCCTCTGAAACGTCAAAAAACGAAGTTTGATCAATTTTTTTTTGGCGTTTTGCCCCTAGCTCCGCCGTCACTGGATCGATATCCCAAAACTACAAAACCTTTTCGTGCTTGGCATAGAAGTGGTCTTGTGTGAAAATGTCATCCAAATCCAAGCAGTAGGTTTCCCGTTCATAGGTTGTACACAGGACTCAATAATATTAGCAACTGCGACATATTTAATGGCACTAAATCTGGCGTCATCGAACTTTACCTTGATGAAGTTGTGAGCTAGTACATTAATGTTGATTATTTACTTATATATTGTTATTCTTATCTTTTTGTATCTATGTATTTGCTTACTGTGCTGTGTATTGATATTTTTTATATTTCCTGGAATTGGGTGTATCTGCCTGCTGGAAATAAACTTATTTTAGTTGCTGTAAGTATTATATTAGATTTCCATTATTAATGGAGCGGATGTGAAAAAAAAGAATATGATGGATTAAACGTTTCATTCAGACAACTTACACACAGAGAACATACATTTTGAATAAAGGCAAGACAAAATAATTTTCATAACGAATTAAGATTAATATATCCGTATAAATCTAAGTTTCACTTATCGCAATTAAACATATTAATCCCCTATTTGAAGCACATCGTGAAAACAAAAACAGAATGATAACGAATAACTGACTATGTCTGCTTAATAATTTATACACAAGAATCTAGTAGACGGGGATAAAATTTGCACCTGACCATATTTTCTACAAGAATTATACTACCCTACCTCTATATACACTGTTAAATTGGTAGTTTTGATTCATAAAAATCCACTCATCCCTTCTTAGTATGGTCTCTAATGACAATTCAGATTATTTTTTACAATGCACATTTCCAGACTTTTGAACAGCTAGATTCGCGTTTCGTGGCGCTGGGGTTCGGTTACAAATTTCGGTCAAATATACAGGGTGGCGCATCGAAAACGAAACACGCATTTATTGGCAGCTCAGATTTTTTTGGAAAAACGCTCAGACCCGTCGATTTTGTTTTCGAGGGGGACACACGTTTGCCAAAAAATCACGTTAACACGTGCAGCTACCTGGGCGGGGGTGACATCAACCCTAAAATCTTAAATGGAAAGGGGAGGTCAAGTGATACCTTATTTTAAAGATCTTTCAATTCCCTTTATAATGATGTAAAATACATGAGCTGCAGTTCAGTAGTTTTGAAGATTTATTGATTTAAAGCTTAAAGTAGACTTTAATAGGTACATCAGATTAGTTTGTACTACTTTCAGAAGAAATTTGACTAAAAGAATTTACTTAATAAGTAAATGCTTTTCTTCACTACGCTCATGGTTTGTTTATCATTTTGTTGTTGAAAATAGCTATTGGAGCGTTTTTTGTGGCAAAAAAGTTATTTCTTGAAGAAAGATAGGGAAATATCTCGTACTTATTTTAAATAGGAATTTAGTACATAGTTTGCTATTGATTTGACCAAACTTTGTTGCTAAAATAACTTGTAACGCGTTATTACATAAATTACCATGGTACATACCACAGCAGAAAGAGTTGAAATCATCGAAATATTTTTCGGAAATAATCAGTGCGCTAATAGAACAGCAGAAATATTTAATGAGCGACATGAGAACAGTAACGTGTACTGAAAATATGTTCTAGAACTTGTAGCTATATTTCGGGAAACTGGGTCAGTCGCCAATAAAAAACGCAACATTGAAAATCCCATAAGGAACGAAGCAATAGAAGTGGGGGTTTCAGGGCAAGTTTATGTAGATCCTACGTTAAGTACAAGCAAATTGGAGACTGTGTGTGGTGTTAGTCGACGTACTGTCCAACGGATTCTAAAGGTCCATAGTTTTCATCCGTATAAAATTCACCTGGTACAAGAACTTAATAAGTGCCGATATTGATCCGATTCTAATCCCAGAATTTATCATGAGGTTCATACACAGCAGCCAAAAAAATTAAATGTTTGGGCTGGTATTTTTGGCGATCATTTAGTTCGTCCTTTTTTCTTACCTGGAAATTTGACCGGTGAAATGTATTTGGTATTACTGGAAGACGCCATAGATCCTGCATTAACAGCTATAATTGAAATCAGAATGATCGGCGGTACATTGCGAATAGGTTGATGTTCAACAGTTTGGTGCCCCACGACATTACGCATTACGTGTTCGACAATATTTAGATCAGACGTTTCCAGATCGATGGATTGGTAGAAGAGGTGCCATTGAATGGCCCCCAAGATCGCCAGAGTTATCACCTTTGGATTTCTTTATGTGGGGTCATTTAAAGAATTGTGAATGAGTGCCTTCAAATTACTCCTCAAATATTGCAAAATGTGTGGCAACGTTTTGAGCAAAATCTTTATTATTGCATAGGGAGTCATGGTGGCCATTTTCAACATTTACTTGCCTAACGGGTCAGTTCATGCTTCATTTGTAAATTACTTTGCTGCCAAATGTATTGATCTCCACTAATGATGATGTATTAGTTTTATTTAAGCTTTAAATCAATAAATCTTCAAAACTTTTGAACTGAAGTACATTAATTTTATATCATTATAAAGGGAATTGAAAGGCCTTTAAAATAAGGTATCACTCGATCCCCCTTTCCATTTAAGATTTTGGGGGTGGTGTCACCCCCGCTTAGGGGGCTGCACGTGCAAACGTGATTTTTTGCCAAACTTGTGTCCCCCTCGAAAACAAAATCGACGGGTCTGAGCGTTTTCAAATAACGAGGTGGCAGAATTTAAAAACCTAAAGTTTACTGAACGTATTAAAAAAATCCACTTACTTATAAATAGGGAACACAATTTTGATACATACATTGTTTTTCTTTTTAAAGCCCACACTTCACTTTTTGTATTTAAAGAAGGTGTTCAAAATGTCGTCCTCCACTTTCCACACCAGCTTCATTACGACGAACCCAGTTTCTTCTTACTCTAGGTCCTCGAAGTTGTCCATTTATTATTTCAGCCGCAGTAAATATATATATATATATATACACAAAACTAACCACTGTTACCGTTTGCGATCGATTGCAGGTTCGATAAGAGTGATGATGACCGACGCGCTGTTGTCATGTGTGTTTTAAATATTTAATTTAATGAAACTTACTTACTGACTACAAATGTTGGCTTAACTTAGAAAAACTTAATGCCATTTATTTGTTAATTACCCAATTTAAAAACGTTTTAGATTAGATTATAAAAATTAGTAAGATTGTGGTGATTGTGGTCGATACAAAGCACTTAAAGTTGTAAACTATAAAGCCATTTAGACAAAATTCTATTGACTTTTGGACCATGGGTCATATGAACTTTTTGACTTGTTTTGACCCCCCTATTACCCATTTCAATAATGACTGCCATAACGTTTACACCCTGTATAATAAATAACTTGTTTTGGAAATTTTGCGCGGTTGTAATACTTCCCTGCTGATTGTGCGAGTAAAATGCCAACCATCAGCGTAATCTGCGTCCCTGATATCTAGAGCAATCGCAGACCTCACACGTCACATGATTATTATTTGATGGATAATTATTTAAAAAATACAATCCAGTATAATAATTAATGCCTCTAGTTCTCCTTGAAAAAGTACACACCAACAGTTGCCAAACAAAAGACACTTGCCGAAATCAGAGGCTGAAATTATTACACGTGAATGGAGTAACGCGCGAAATTAACTGGTTTGATTTAGGTCTCCGTCTTGCCACTCAGTGATATCATGTAATACAAAACCGGCCCTTACGTTTGGTATAAAAATGACATACATAATTTTTCACACATCAGTCGCAAATCGTAAACGTTGTGTGCAGTTTTTGTTTGCTATCATCAACCTTGCTTTCGTTTATCACAATGGCATTTAAGGTAAGTACCACTATTTTTAATTTTTACAGATTTTCCATTAACACAAATATGTTTCTGCAACTGAACTCTAAAGACCAAATATTTTAATAGCTGAAGTCAAATTAACTAGCTTATTTGCCTGAATATTTTAAAACTGCATATCTATATTTCGGACAGGCCAACGAACGAAAGCAAAGCAAAACAGCTATATCGACAGAGTCGACGTTATCAGGTGGTCACAGTGAGCACTTTCAACGCGAATTGAGTTACTGTTAAAGTTCGAACGGATAGCTGCAATAAACTCTCTGATTCTGGTAATAGATAGCACTTGTATGTGAACTTAGAACATAAAAAGTGGAATATCACTTGAAGAAAATTACAAATATGATAGTTCTTTCAAACTGATTGAAAATTGGAACTAAGAAAGAGGACTTAAATTTGAAGATGACTTATTTTTTTATATACTCCAACTACCACGAAGGCCTAAGGCCTAAAAACCCATTGGGCACCGTGGGGCTATAGGAGGATACACGGGAAACGGGGAGTGCCACATGGCCTCTGGCGAGGGAACAAGTGTGCATGCAACAGAACACATTCTGGCTCCGCTGGGTGGTACCTCCGTGTTCGACAGTCCATAGCTAAGAGAAAAAATTCTCCTGGGACGGGATTCGAACCCGCACAGCGCACGGCGACTGACCAGGAGACCGAAGAGTCTACTACTGCGGCCAGCGCTGCTGCCCGATAAGGATATAAGGCTTTTGTTCTAGACTTAGATCATTTAATGCGTGGTGTTTCTACCCTAATAATATACAAGAATACAAATAAAAAATGTAAATGAATGAGATGTAATATCTTTCTTCAGGGGCGTACCCAAAGGTGGAAACAAGAAAAATGAAATAAAAACCGGCTATTGGAAATTGACGAGCGGGAGGTGGCTTCATTAGGACTCGCCAAAACCAAATTCACCGTGGATCCGCCACTGCTTGCCTTGCAGCATTTTTTAAAGTGTAGATACGATATGGGTTCTTTATAAATCAATCTAATGTTGACAGTTATAAATTCATTTATGCATTCAGAGCATCAGCTTTTCTTTCTTAATTGGATTTGTGATATTTAATTGAATTATTCTCTTCAAAACAGTGGGCAAAAATTAAAGGGTTGAATCTAAGACTATTTTCATTAATGGACAAGTATCTTATTTGTTGTAGTGTAAACCGATTGCAGTAGCATAGAAACAAGAGGCATTACAATCCAGGGCTCAACGAATTACCAATATTGCTAGGGCTAGCCTGTCCCTCGTGATATAAACGAACTGTTTTCTATTTCATTTATTTCACTGACAAAAAAACCAGTTTTAAAGTACTTTTTGGGGCTTAATGAATTATTTATGTTACAAAAGATTGAAATTTCGAATCACCCTCACTGCTGATAGTAATAATAGTGGAAATCGAAAAACTGTTATGGATTTACGTTGTCTTATCAGGAAATAGGATTAATTTAGTGGCATATACCTTGAGCAAAAGAACCATATTAATCACATTTTTATTGATTATTATTGGAAACTACACTTAAATATTGATTTCTGAACATACCACATGTTTTAATTTTGCGTGATCTAATATTTTTAAGCTACTTAGGGGAAGCCCTGGCAAACCCCACTTGCTTATTTGCTCATAGGCATCAAGACACATTTTTTCAACAAAAAATTGACATTATAACTGTCATACCTTCTTTACGAAAATATTAAACATATATTTAAAGGGGCTTGTGAGTCATGCAAATGCGAAGGAACGAATCAATGGTTTTGGTAGGAAACATGAAAACTTAAACAAAGCGGATAAGGTCCACAGTATTATTTTTGTAGTTGAAAATAAAACAATACAGTGATGCTGGTACTATTTTTGAAATGAATCATTTAAGTACCCGCCGTACAGTAGCGCGTACAAAAATCACGTAATTTACGGATTTTCTGTTTTTCCACTTAGCGTGTATTATGTGGCGTTATTTTAAGAGAGAGCAGTGTAGTCACTTGCGAGGTGTTTACCGATAATACACATCTACCTTTAATGAAGCGTTTTCAGTAAAAAAGCATGTTGGTAAAGTGGTCTTAATTGGTTTTTGCACTGACTGATTAAATATCGCCCTTTGCTCAAAGAACAATTAATTGGAATATATTATTTTCAGCTTGTAGTCCTGTTGGCCACAATCGCCTATGCTAGCGCAGGCAATCTCCCCTTGGCGTACACATCATATGCCGCCCTACCAGCTGCCCCCGCAGCACTTTCTGTAGCCACTGCGCCTGCCCTAACGTCACAATCTTCCAACATCTACCGCAGCTTCGGCAACCTTGGACAGGTAATACGGAAACATAGTGTCAAGCATACTGAACTTTCTTATACGATGGTTTCCAAAAAGCACCTCCCCCTCCACTTTATTTTCTGAACGGAACAAGTTAGCAATCTAAAATTCCCAACTGATGTATAAATATGTACCATATTTTAAAGTAGAAGAGACAATTTAATATTTCAGGAAGGCGGATGGGCGCCATCTTGGAACATTTTTTCGAACCCCATGGGTATCATATGATAGCTGATTTTGAGGTTCCTTATAATAGTCTAATCATATTAGCAAATTTCCCCGAAACAATTGTAAAGTCTGATTTTGTTGGTGCAAGTTGTTCAAGGGGTTACACCAATTTTTGCGGGAAAACTTTTTATTTGACAACATAAAATGAGAAAACTCGTTTTTTGAAATTCAATCGAAAGTGTTGATAGGAACGAAAAAACTTTTCATTTAAGATTTTTAGGTATTTATGAGACCTACAAAATGAGACCACAAGTGAAAATATCAGACGAATATCAAAAATGCTATGACCGAAAAACGAGACAAAATGCAGGTTTTGGCACTTGTTGGTAATGCGACGACTTGAAATTCTTAAAACCTGTAGGATTCATACTTCTAAACAACAACCAAATTGAATTATATTGGTCAAGTAGTTTTTTGAGATTCTCTAATTGCTTATCCCAAAACACCTGTTTTCCGGTCATCACTACTAGTTCATTGAGCAATATACGTTCAAAAAGCATTTAGTAGCAAAATACACGTGTTTACCTTGCCTATATGAATCACAAACAATTCCGAAAGATAAATGTTACTTTTATGCGAAAAACAAAGGTTGTTTTTTTTTCTTCTAAACAAATTCAAACATTTCGGATGTGTGAGCAATTGAACAAATGCGCTACAATATTCGAAAAACATACGTTACTATACATATTTTGAAACAAAGCGGATGTGCCTATCCTCTTTTGTTGCGAATTACTCCCAAATACGATATGTTTGAATTTGTTTAGAAGAAAAAACGTAATCAATCCTTTTTTGCATAAAAATAACAATTATCGTCCGGAATGGTTGGAAATTCATATCGGCAAGGTAAACTCAATAAACTAGTAATGATGGCCGGAAAACAGGTGTTTTGGGATAGAAATTCTCAAAAAATCCTTGACCAATCCATTCCAATTTTGTTGGTGTTATTTAGAAGTATGAATTTTACAAATTTGAAGAATTTCAAGTATCTGCAAGAAACCATCATCGCATTACCAGCAAGTGCCAAATCCTACAGTTTGCCTCGCTTTTCGGCCATAACTTTTTTGCTGTTAGTCGGATCTTTTTACGTGTGGTCTCATTCTATAGGTCTCATAAATACCTAAAAATCTTATTTGAACAGTTTTCTGGTTCCTGCTAACGCTTTCGATTGAATCCCAAGAAAACCCTTTTTCTCATTCTTTGTTGTCGAATAAAAAGTTTCCATGTTTTAAGTACCCCTTTGAACAACTTCGTATAAGTACTTCATAACTCTAGAATGTTAACTTGGTATCTTCCAAGAGGGCCAGCCGGCGAGCCGTGAAAGTGGAAGGTTTTTTTACATTGAACCCCTACTTCCTTATTAATATTATAAATGTGAAAGTGTGTATGCCTATATGAATGTATGGTCCGCTTTGACGCCAAAATGGCTGAACCGATTTTGATGTACTTTATCATAGAAATAGATTAGACCTTGAAGTCGGGCATAGGCTACATTTTGTAAATAAAATTTGAAGGGTAAAGAGATTAAAGGAAATTGGAGAGCGTTGGACTGCCTTGGGGGACGACACTATAATGTTTGTCCCCCCCCCTGATCAATTATCACAAGGATGTTTCCTAGATGCAGCAGACCAGGCCGCCACCCCACTCTTCAATTTTCAGTTGTGGATACTAAAATGTGCTAACCAAAATTGTCTTAAGGGCATTCGGTCTCAGAAGCACCGATACAGCACACGCGCCGCCACCCCTGCCCCCACTTTTCAATAGCAGATAACTACCCATCCCTCCTCCCCCCCCCAGGCGGACATCTTGAACAATTTGAGGGGGGGCTGGGGCGCCAGGCAATAACCGATTCTCAAACTGTTCACTAGAACCTGTGTTTTAGCGCATATAAGTATTTTCACGAGTTCGATCTAGGGACGCCGTTTGCGTATTCATTTCGGATCTCTGTGAATGTGCATGAGAAGCGCTGAATCAATCTATTTGACCATACTTTCTACATATGTAATTATATTAAAACCACTTAAAAATCTTTCTATAGTAGTCGTGCTATGGATATCTTGATGTTTTACTGCTTGACTTGCTAAACGTGTACGTATAGATAAATAGAGTTATCTATTTTAGGTATCCACCTACTCAAAGACCGTGGACACCCCTTACTCCAGCGTATCCAAGGCTGACGTACGAGTATCCAACCCAGGAGTCCGTGTAGCTACCCACACTACGTACGCTGCCCCCGGAGTGGCAATCCACGCCGCCCCCTCAGCGATCGCACACGCACCCCTTGTGGGGGTGGCTTACTCCGCCGCTCCGGCTGTGTCACACATTGCGTACACCTCTGGATTGGTCAACTATGCTTTTTAAAACGACTGATTATTTATTTTAGCAAATAAAGCTTTTTCAAAAAGGTGCCTTTTGTTCTTTACGTCCCCAGAAGGCTTAGTTCGTCGTCCCAACTGCTTCGTATTTTAGGGAAGTTTTTTTATCGAAAAGGAGATTCATAGCCCAGTGGGAAAGTGCACACTTCAAATTTGAATTACGCGGCAACCGCTTACGCGAGGAAGTGGGGAGAGGTCTTGATCGACGTGTCAGGCGTGCGGGTTAAATAGTCACCGGAGTCCAATGTGCTTTTGCTATCGAGGCTTACTTTAAGAGTTGTTATTTCATACGCAGGTGCCCTTCGGATTTTTTGTACACGACACAACATTCGCCGACCAAGAGATGCCCCGTGTAAGAACCTATTGAAAAAGTCGATTAAGAGGTTTCGTAAAACAGGATCTACTCTTAGTCAACCCATTTCTGGCCCCACTCCTACTGTATCAACCGAAGAAAATGTGCGTCGAGTAAGTAATTCGGTCATTGCAAACCCTCGGCGTTCTGTACGGAAACATTCCGCTGCTTTGGTAATCCCTAGGTCAACACTGCATGGCATAATGAAGAAAAAAGTGAGTTTTCATCCTTATAAAAGCCAATCAGTCCATGCTTTAAAGGAAAGTGACTACGTATTACGAAAATCTTGTGCCGAACGGATGTTGAATCTTTTTCCTATGCAGCGCAGACTCGAGAACGTTGTTTTCAGTGACGAGGCCCATTTTCACTTAGACGGTTATGTGATCAAGCAAAATTGCAGATATTGGGCACCAACGAACCCAAAAGCAAAACATCAAAAACAGCTATACACGAACACTGGAGGAGCTTACAGACAACATTCGACGACAAATAAACAACATCACTCCGGAACTCTGCAAGAGTGTTTCAGAATTTGCGCGCGCAATTAGAAGAGTATGTCCGAAGGGATGGCAAATATTTGGACGGAATGATATTTGAGAAATAAAACCCGCCGAATTTACGAATATGTTGATGGTAATAAATCTGGACACTGGACACCCTGTAGTTCTGGTATCTTTCACACATTTGGTTAGTTCGTTTTCCGCAAAGAGGCAGATGAATGAAAAAAATAAACATTTAGGCTACTGCCAGTAAATGTTTAAATTGGGCACTAGGCTGTAGTTCTTGGGTTAACTGGATTTTGTATGGCCGCAAATGCAAGTCTGTTTTTAAAATAGTGCTTAATGACGAATACCCAGTTTTTGAGAACGATGTCTTATAAATCGATGTTTTGTGGCGGCCGCCATATTGGATCTAGAATTACGTCACGTTGCTTACTCTATCTCTCTCATCAAGCCCTTTCAGTCGATAACAATATCATAGGGAAAACTATAGAAATTATAAACGCCATCTTGCGGCGGTAATCATATGAAATGACGACATTGCTTATTGTGTTTGATCTGATGTCCATATTAAGAGCTGACTATGGAAATTATAAATCGCCAAATTGCTGCCTCCGTCATATTTCATTTAGAATGACGTCAGTTTGCGTATTGTGCTTCTCTCATCAAGTTCTTTCATTTGATACCCATATCAGATACTATGGAAATGACAAATCGAAATTATGTAGCATACGCCTTATTATGTTTAAAATGGAGCAGTTAATTCATTATGTATTGTCACATTGGTTAAGGTTAATTGGTTCGAAATTCAGTTTCAGGATCTGTCCCTCACATGGATACTAACGAACTAACAACAGTTACTTGCACAAGGCTTGTAAAATGTGCCATTGCTAATGCACTTTATATTGCAATCCCAGCTCAAATTAAACCAGTAGAAAATGAAAACGGTTCATAGTGAATTCGTACTTTCTGTTTCTCTAAAAATACTCCGAATTGATAAGTTATCTAAGTAACATTTTATTAATTATCTAAATGCGCAACTTTGCCTTTATAAACGACTTTGTAATGAATTTCAATCCTAGTAATTTCTCATTTAATACATATTGGCTCAGCTTGGGGAGAACATATACAACTTTGTTCATAAACTACAATCTGTACAGCGAGAGCGAAAATAGTGAGAAAAGTTAAATTTTAATGAAAGGTGAGTAAAAGTTAGAAAAAGTGATAAAAAGGGAAAAAACTGGATCGCTAGCATCTCTGCAATCGTTGCAGCAATTACTAGTATAACACCACGACAAAAAGCTAGAAACTGCCATAATGATATTCGTCATTTCTGCAACCCCAAAAGAGGCGAAATATCTGGGAATAATCTTAGATAAAACACTAAACTGGAATTCGCATCTGAAAGCAGTCCTTAAGAAGGCAAGAATCTAGCTATGGAACTGCCACAGGGTCTGTGGAAAGAACTGGGCAATGAAGCCTAAGCAAATGATTTGGCTTTATACCATGGTTATTAGATCTATGATAACCCATGGATCTGTAGCTTGGTGGGGCAAGGCAGCACAAAGAACTGTCCAATCCAAACTGAGCGCAATACAGAGAAAAGCTTGAATGTTGATCAATGGTGCCTTTCGTACCACACCAACTACAGCTATGAAGGTCCTTCTTAATTTACCCCCCTAGGCAAGAAGGACATCTTATAGACTACATCATGTGGCAAATAGTATAATGGAGGAGACGGACATGCTGGTGGACTTACAAAACCACCATAGTCTCGGCATGCCTTATGATATAATGCCAAAGATAACAAGATATGGTATGCTAAACCCTACTCAGTGACAATTCCACACAGGAATGAATGGGAAGAGCAAGTTAACCTGATAAGGAAAGATATCTGTGCATACGCAGATGGCTCCAAGACCGAGGTAGGTGTTGGAGCTGGAATGCACAGAACAGTGCTCCACCTACTCGACATCGAAATTAGTGTGGACTTGCAAAGAAGCTCCCGGTGGCATAATGGAGTCCGTCTCATATGGATACCAGGACACACAGGTCTAGAGGGAAATGAGACAGCTGACACTCTGACAAAGAGTGGGGCTAGCACACCCTTCATAGGGCCTGAGCCAGCGATTGAGATCGCATACAATACGGCTAAACAAATAATCTCTGCAGAGATGGAAAGAAAGATTCATCAATACTGGGAGGGATTAGCAGCGTTAACACATGCTAAGGCAACTATACGAATCTTGACAAAGAAGATAACCGACTCTTTGCTACGGCTGATCAGGAATAGCCTCAAACTCTAGTAGGACTGTACACTGGTCATTGCAAATTGCGTCACCACATGAGCAGGCTGGGCATGGCGGAAGGCGCCGAGTGCAGACTGTGCAAGGAGGGAGATGAAACGGTTGAGTATTCATTGTGCAGATGCCCTGTAATTGCCAGAATCAGGTACAACATGCTTGAAGACGTACTATTCCAAGCAGAAGGCCTGAAGGATATTTCTCAAAACAAGTTGATCGACTTCCTCAGGAGGTCGGAGCTACTGGAGGAAATATAAACAGATGTGAGTCACAATAGACCAGAGAGTCGCAGTGGAGAATCGTTACGGATGTACTCACAAGAAACCTAACCTAACCTAACCTCAAATGATTTGATTTTTTACTCATTCATCAAAGTTGGGGATGCAGCCACGCATCTAAACATGTAAAATGTATTTGAAAGTAAAACGCTTTGACCATTCTGTGGGTGCGGTGTGCGCTACCCCTCTCAAATACGCCACTGCTCCGCGCATCCAGCTGCACCGTGGAAAATTTTATATGAAGATGCGGAATTAATAAAAAAATTTTCAGCTTAAGTTTAAGGCTTTTTGGTTTTTTGAAATGATTATAAATAATATTTAAGTGAAACAAATTAAATAAATACAATTAAAATTAAGAAATTAATAAATTAAATAAAATAACTGACAAACAATTACTCATTAATAACATTTTGGTTTCATATGAAAATGCGTTTTTTCGGTCCCTGTCTCATTTTATTGATGAAAAACATCAAATATATTAAGTAGGTATGTTTTCATGAAAAATAATTTCTGAGACATTTAGGTCATTTGTTTAGTACTTACTTAGGTAGGACAACGAACGAAAACTGAGCAACTTTCCTCCATCCAGCCTATAAGGTCTATCAAAATACCACCACAAGCTATTGCCAGAATCGACCACAGCGAGAGTGAAAACAGCAAGTTGTCGGTTAGAACTGCCTCTCAATCCGCATTTAACATCGGGGTATGCGGTTGGACGAACTACTTAGGTGAATGGATGTATCTACTATAGCACCAGAATCAGCGGCATCTAGCGGTGGTCACCCACCCGGCTGTTAAATGCGTACCATTTTAGATTACGAATACAGTGTGATAGATCACACATCATATTTTCTTAAACCATATAGATAAGGCGACAACATGAATTATGAATCAGTTGAAGTCTACGAACTGAAACTTGGCCTAAGTAAGGATAGAAAAGTATAGAGAAGTAGTTAATTGTTAAAAGAACTAGGCTTTCACAAAGATGTTTTTGAATATGAAAATGATAAAATGTTATTAGTACATCAATGCAGCTTTTTACTAGTTTATATACGGTGACTTCGAAGTTGAGTCATTTATTTTAACAGTGAGTAGATCTGATCAAAAGAAATGTTTTTTTCCTTTAACATTTTTCTGGTAAAATTAAAGTAACAAAGTTATAGCCCTTTAGAAGTTTGAGTACCGCCCTGTCTCAATAATAATATTATGTGCTCGTGTTTGGCAACAACGGATATAATCCGCCTTATCCGTTCATCGCATCGGAAACAAAAAAGCGAAAGAATTTGAAACGATGTTTTTACTACAATGTACAATCTTATTCAGTTGTATTCAGTCGATGTGTCAGTCGGTAACGCGTGAGTGAATAGTGGTGTTTGTTGCGTGGCTCAAACGAAATAAAAAATGGCACATGTTTACGAAAATGCTGAATGTAGTACAAAGGGCTCGTGAATCAGGTGACTTAAGACCTCACAGGGGAGGGCATGCCGGTGCTCCAAGACCGCACGATCAAATACAGGTCCGCACTGAAATACTTGTCGGGAGGATACTTTATAAAACAAGGTAACATGTTTTTTTTTTTCATTTTTACACACATATTTTGGTTTATCTTCCTTCTACAATCATTATCTGAAAATTAATGACTCAACTTCAAAGTTATATGCTGCATTTTTTAAATTAGTTTGCATCCCAAAAATCTCGAATAATTCCGCTCACTTGTCACTGTGAGACGGCTTCAACGATGCTGAGCGTCCCAGCGTCCGACGCCGAAGCGACGCTCCGAACGACGCCGACGCCAATCGATTTTCTCCCTATGCATGACACCGCTCTGCGTCAGATGATCTCGCAGCATCACAATACAACAAACCCTCGATGGCGCAGAGATGAAAAGACAAAATGTGAGGACACTTTCGCTTGTCGTGTGCACATTCACTTATTTGCTGATCGGAGCAGCCGTATTCGATGCTCTAGAGTCCAAGGAAGAGGAACGCAGGGATCAGCTACTTAAAGGTAGGTATAAAGCAAAAAGAAATATTTTCCTCGTAATCACACAGTCTGAGTTTGAATAACCGATGTTCAGCAACCTTTGCCATAAAATCAGATTTTTAAATACTCTGAGAAAAGGGTCATCAGTGATGCACTAATGGGTGCTGAATTTCCTGGTGGGCCAATAATTAAATCAGAATTTCGCCGAGCTTAAAGATCCGGAATCCTTTCCTTTTTATAGTTTTTCTTTACTTATTCAAACGCCCTTATACAACAGTTTAAATGTAAAAATGGTATGTGAATTTTCCATGACCCTGCAACTTTCTACAGATCCCACTATATAGTATTACTCAAAAACAAAGTCAATATTTCTAGAACAGAAAGTACACACATCCAGAAATTTAATAATAAACGTGTTTTATTGAGGGGGAAGCTTAGCTTGAAGCTATTCTGCCACTTAACCCCTGGAAACGTTCAAAAAGCTACAATCGCAATTATAAAAATGTAAAAGTAATATACCTAAGCATATATACGTAATATTGTAGTCAGAGTAGATGAGGAAAAATTGATTATACATTCGAATGGACACCGAAAATGGACGTTTTTAGAAGTGAGGGGTTAAACTATGCTGATGAGTACTTTTCTAAAATAAATTCATTGTATACGTAATTTAGTGATTTTAATGCCTGAGGTTATTCATTATAAAGTGTATCCGCGTTGTATGTGAAGCATTTACGAAAAAATGAGGTTTTGTGAAGAGGCATTATGAGTGTCTCAGTAAGCCGCATGTCTCTTCAGTAAAAATAATTTCAAAGGATCAGCTTGTTCTTTAGGAACGAGGCAATCGAAGTAATCAATAGCTTATAAGTGTAAGTCTCTCAAAGAATCGCTTATATGGTTATATTTTTTCAAATTATTTATTAGTCTGCAACATGAATTTTGAACTTTTTGTAAACATGATAGAGATATTGTATATGAAAACGGATTGTAAATTATATCACAGTAAGTCATTTTGGACATAATTATTCGCATAAAATCCTTTTAGTCTAATAATCGAAAATTTGCTTATTCAGATATAACTGACTTAAGATCGGAAAGCAGTGCTTAGTAACCTTGTTTTCATCTGGTATGAACTTCAGACACCTTTCAAAAAGAATTCCCAAGTTTTTGACTGCCTGAACTTTGATAGTAGCACAATCTAAGCTAATATTAAGATTGTTTTTAACGTAATTTCTAAAAAGTCAGGGCTAAAAAATAATTACTTTTTATTTTGAAGGATTTATTTGGATGTTATGTTTTTTGCATAATTGATGTTATGTCTTCTTTGATTTCATATTCAGCGATTTGAGTGTTGCTACTATGTAAGTGGTTGTAAATTTGAAAGTCATCAGCAAAAAATTGAATACAATGTAACGAATGTGTGCAAGTCGGAGATATACAGGGTGCGGCAGAGAGGATAGACGGTTTTAAAAAAATCATAAAATAGTTAATTTTTACTCGAAAACAATTTTATTGATGGAATCAGGTTCACAAGGAAATAGCATTTGAGACAGTCAAGTGTGGAAAATCACATCATGCATGTGGTGGCCGAAATCGTTGATGCAGTGCTGGAGGCGTTCTTGGAAGTTCGCGTAGACTCTCTCCAACATCGCTCTCTCAACTTGGGCGACTTCCACGCGAATTTCGCCCTTCAATTCGTCCAGAGTTCGGGGCTTGTTCGCGTATACTCTAGCCTTGAGGTGTCCCCATAAGAAAAAATCGCATATGGATAAATCTGGGAACAGAGGAGGCCAATGAACATCGCCAAACCTGGAAATAAGGCGACCAGGGAAGATAGGGCGAATAACGTCCATGGATGCTCGGGCTGTGTGGGCGGTCGCCCCATCCTGCTGGAACCACACAAGTCGGATTCGGACACGTCGCCGTCGTAATTCAGGGAGAAAGAAGTTGGTGGTAATGTCGACGTAGCGCTCTGAGTTCACGGTAACATCACGACCATTACCGTCTTCGAAGAAGTAAGGGCCAATGATGCAAGTTTGCGATACAGCGCAACAAACCGTTACTTTTGGGCTGTGCAGCGGTCTTTCGTGTAACTGTTGCGGATTTTCATTAGCCCAATAACGACAATTCTGCTGGTTAACCATGATGTTTAGGTGAAAGTGGGCTTTCTCACTTATAAACAAAATGAGGTTCTCATTTTGATCGATCAGTGCTTCCATCTCACGTGCGAAGTTCATTCGTTGTGCATAATCTCCGGGCTGTAACTGTTGCACAATGGCTAATTTGTAGGGGCGAAAGCGGAGATTCATATGCAAAATTCACCTTACCGAACGATCACTAAGGCGAAGTGCAGCAGCATGTTTCTGGGCAGATCGAGTCGGACTGAGAAGAAAGACCTGTCGAACGCGTTTAACATTTTCAGGAGTTCGAACTGTTTGCGGCGCTCCTCTTGGTCTCCTGTTGATCAGTTCACCACGCCTGCGAAGTGATTCAACCCAACGAAGGATGGTGTTTCGAGAGGAAACAGCTCTATTCCGATGAATGTTGAAGTGGCGACGAAACTCACGCTGTACGACGATGACTGACTCATTATTTCGGACGAAACAATCATAGGCGAAAACGCGGTGCTCCACCGCCGAAGGCTCAATAACGACAACTGGTAAAATAATGCTAGGATCTCACGAGCCAAACGGCACCCTCCCCACCTCTCTCGTAGACGGAGGCGGAGAGTACTACCCATCCCAAAAACGTCCGTCCTCTCTGCCGCACCCTGTATAAATTAAATAATAATGGATCGAGTACAGAACCTTGGAGTAATCCAAATAAAATGGCATACTTAGGCAACGTATCCATATCAATAGTAACTCTTTGAGAGAGATTTGTTAAAAAAACAACTCATCATATTAAATGAAGAATCGGAAAAACTGTATCATATACGTTTCTCATGTTTGCCTTCTCCAATAATTTAGATAGCACAGGTAGGATATTAATCGATCTCAAATCAGCATATGATGCGAAATTACTGGTTTTTGAAACAGGTAATACTAGTGGATAATCCCTCAATGAAACCACAGGATCAGTTGCAGATGATACAGTAATACCCGTATTAGTGCTTCTTTCTTCAGGATATAGTCCGTTCATTACACAATAATTTAAAATATGGAGGTCGTGGTTCGAAATAACAGGGAAACATAATTTAATCATCACAGATATAAACTCTGAAAAATCCACAAAACTATTTAGTATATTAAAAATATGGAAAGGTTGAAATAATCTTCAACGTTTTTCAACAATCACAAAGATTTTGAAATCTAGCAGCTTTATTTTCGACTCACGGATACTGCTAATGGTAATCAACAGTGTCTTTGCACCAGAAAACATTATCAAAGCTCCTTGACTTGTTAATCTTTAATGCAGTTTTAAAGAATGTTGTTCAGATTACATACTTTGATTTTTATATACATAATTCCGAAGCTGATATATGGAAATTGTCGTTTAATCTTCTTGAGTATATTTTTTACATTCATATTGGAACTTAAATGAAGTGGAACTGTACATCAACATAGTCTAAGCTTTTGTTTTTGACGCTTCAGTGTGTGAAGTATTGCATTTGTTGTCTAACTGCCAGATGAGGTGGAATAAAGAAGCTATTTTGAAGTTTTCATCAAAATATTAGCCTACTAATTTTTAGACTCATTTGTGTATTTCTAAACTGATACTAAACTTTAGCTTTTAAATTATTTTGTTACTTATAGGAAATTTTGATCAATCATGTTTTTCTAGTGTCTTCCAATGCACTGAAACGAAAATACAACATTTCCAATGACGACTACCGCATGATCGAACTGGTGATCATCGAATATAAACCCCACAAGGCCGGACCACAATGGAAGTTCGCTGGGGCCTTCTACTTCGCCACAGTAGTTTTGGCCATGATTGGATATGGGCACTCCACGCCAGTCACTGCGGGAGGAAAGGCGTTTTGCATCGGATATGCGGTGGTAAGGTCCTTTCTTTAGATTTATATACAGGGTGATTCAAAAGTCGTGACCAAAAATAAAACAATACACAGTTTAAAATAACAATTTTTTTTAAAACCGTCAACTGGAATGAACTAAAGGTAGATATGTGTCCTAAGTATTGTCCATATTCAAAAGTCTTTACTAAAAATTAACGTGCACCAGTGGCGGAGATACAGGGGATTAGTCGCATTATTTTGCCAAATAAAAATGGTACGGCACTGTTTTTTTTTTCACAATGCAGTCTAGGAAAAAACACAAGAGTAATTATTTGTAGCAAATTGGATGTAAAATTCGAAAAATTGCGTGTTTAAAAATAACAGTAGCATACTATTTTTATTTGGAAAAATAATGCTACTAGTCCCTTGTATCTCCGCCACTGGTGGACGTTAATTTTAAGTATACCTTTTAATGTAGACAATGCTTAGGTATATCCACATATCAAATTTTAGTTCATTCGAGTTGACGGTTTTGAAGATATTAAATAAAAATTGTTTTTTATTTTTTAACTTATGTTGCTAATTACTCACAAATACGAAATGTTTGAATTTGTTTAGAAGAAAAAGCGTAACCCTTCCTTTTTGCATAAAAAAAACATTTATCTTCCGGAATGGTTTGCGATTCATATCTGCAAGGTAAACTAATGTGTTTTGCTATAAAATGTCGTTTGAACTAACCCTGTATATTGCTCAATAAACTAGTAGATAGTGATGGCCGGAACACAGGTATAGTGGAACAAAGAATTAGAAATTCTCAAAAACTACTTGACTAATCTACTCCAATTTTGTTGTGGTTATTTACAAGTACGAATCCTACGAATTTGAAGAATTTCAAATATCTGCGAGAAACTATCGTCGCATTACCAACAAGTGCCAAAACCTGCAGTTTGCCTCGGTTTTCGGCCATAACTTTTTTGCTATTAGTCGGACCTTTTTACGTGTGGTCTCATTTTATAGTTCCCATAAATACCTAAAAATCTTGAAGAAAGAGTTTTTTCGTTCCAGCCAACAATTTCGATTGAATCCCGAAAAACACGTTTTCTGATTCTGTGTTATCGAATAAAAAGTTTTCCCACAAAAATTCGTGTAGCCATTTTATGCGTCGATGTTTTGAATACCCCCTTGAACACCTTGCAGCAATAAAACCAGACTTTACAATTATTTCGCAAACTGGGGGTATTTCCGTCTAATATGATTAGAAGTTATGTGAAGAGGTTACTGTATTGTGTTAACGATTTGGGATATAGCCTCATAGTATTTTAACTAGAAAGGGTTCTTCTAGAAAATGAAAAGAAATACTGTGTGGTGAATGTTCAATCGTGAAATATTCAGTAGAAACTCTTCTAAGTGAATACACATACACGTAGTAATTTTTCAATGAATGCTTTACTAAGGCGAAATCATGGACCGCTGTTAACCATATACCCGAAAAAGGCCACCTTGTTTGATGAAACGTTATATAAAAAACACAGAAACCAAAATATATGTGTATGTGATTTGATTCGGCCAGACAATGGAGTCCTATGAACATTCAGGATAAGTTTTAGGAGTTACTTTATTTATGACATTTTGACTGAAACTTTCTACCTAATTTACCTAATTACGATGAGATGCAATATATTATTGTGTTATGATTATATGTACTTATTTTCTGTTATATGAAAAATGTGTCTTCTATACTTCATCTTTGTATGCTGACCACTAGATATTCTAAAAATTTACCAGAATTGTGCTTAAATCATCGCTTAGACTTTCTAATCATTGTCCAAACTTATTCCAGGTTGGCATACCTCTAGGCCTAGTGATGTTCCAGAGCATCGGTGAGCGCCTAAACAAATTCGCTTCGGTAGTAATCCGTCAAATAAAGAAATACCTGAGCTGTCAAAAAGTGGAGGCGACTGAGATGAATTTGATGTTCGCTACCGGAATGTTGTCTTCCATAATCATCACCACTGGAGCTGCCGTCTTTTCTAGATACGAAGGGTGGACTTACTTCGACAGCTTTTACTATTGCTTTGTTACCCTAACGACTATCGGATTTGGTGACTACGTAGCTTTACAGGTAGGGTTCGATCGACAAGTTTCTGTATTTTGTACTCAAGTCACTCAACAGAGCAAAAGCAAGATCGATTCTCATTAAAATAATACGCACATTATATTTTCAATTGGATATGATTTAATATACCTAGATAACCTAATAGTTGTAAAAAAATACTTATCTTTACTGCTCCCTCAGCTCTACGAATTGGGGTATTTGTTATTTTTTATCTCCACCCCTTGTTTGACCACACGAAAAAAAAAGCATTTGGAGAAAAAATGGCTGGAATATTGAGGTAAAATCAGCACAAAAACTGAAATCTATCCTAATGCGTTGTAGTTAAAGAATTGACATCGAAAATTGTATTTTATATATTAGGTAAAACCATCACCATGAAGAATATTAATGTTCTAATCTTGCTTAATGCCATCAAGGGCTTTTCAGGACGTGTTTGTAAGGACTTTTTATACTATTTTTGGAATTACCTTCCACCCTAGATATATTGCAATTACAACCTTTCCTTTAAAAAATATACCGACCATCTTAACGAAGCTTTGTCAATAAACGCCCTTCTCTTCTATTTCAGAACGACAATGCATTGATTGAAAGGCCTGGATATGTTGCTCTAAGTTTAGTCTTCATTTTATTCGGACTAGCAGTTGTGGCTGCTAGTATCAATCTACTAGTGCTGAGGTTCATGACAATGTAAGTACCTATATTAGCATATGAAGGATGCTGCGTAACCCTTTGAAAATTTTCTGTTTGTATTATCTACCTCGCAGAAGTCAAAAGTTTATTAGCATGATACTGAGCTGTTTCATCAGAGAAATTTATAGGAGGATAAAGGCCTATCACTTGTTCCGTATTTGGGACAGTCTGAGTCTATGCAAACTTTTGTAACAGCAAAAAAGGTTCCAAAGATTTTTGAATTATAACTACGAGCCCCTTCCCACTTCAGTTGGCCCACTTCAAGATTTGTACCAAAATATGCCTTTATAAACAGAACATGACGAAACTGTTTACTTCTAAAAAAAATTATTTTCTCAAAAACATTTTAGATACACTCTAGTCGTAAAAAATACATATTTTAAATCACTTAGACCTATAACTAATAGAACATCTGAACAAATAAACAATGTGCGAATAAACGCGCGAAGTTAACAAAGCAACAAATGAAAGATTACCATTGGGTAACATCACCTTTATTTTTTATTACGGCTGAAATTCTTTGGGGCATAGTGTTAACCAAGCTTTGGCAAAAATTTGGTGTAAAACAATCCCATATTTCTTGAAGCTTTTGTCTCAGTTCGGTGATTGTACGAGCAGGATGTTGTCGTAGAACCTTTTTCATCTCGTGCCACAATGTTTCAATAGGTGATAGATCTGGACTGCTACAAACCCATTTCAAAAGTGGTACATTATTTTCTTCCATTCATTTTATAGCCTTTTTTGAGGTATGGCACGCTGCACCATCTTGCTGAAACACAAAATCTTGGCCGGATGTCAAACATTCTTCCATCACTGGTAAAAGCGATTCTTCTAAAATTGCCAAATATTTGTTTGTATCCACATTTCCATCAACAGAATGAAGTTTTCCTACTCCTTTTGATGACATACTGCCCCAGACCATGATGGATGCTGGAAATTTCACTTTTCCCTTCAGACAGTCAACATGGAATGCTTCATTTTTTTGCGAATAACTCTACTGCGACTGTCACCAACACAAACTTCGAATCGGGCCTCATAACTCTGTATTGCACACCATTGTCGAGGTGTTCATTGTCTATGTTCTTTAGCCCACCTAAGCCGATTTTTCTTTTGCAGTGGAGTTAATAGTGGCTTTTCTTTGGCCTATAAACAAGTTGTGCAACTTTAGGGTTTTTACTTAACTTTTTTTTATAAGAAAACTTACCTTGCAGTGCTAAATCTCAGTTTGTGGGCCTGTCTATGAGTTGTGGACCTCGAATTCTCCTTCCAACAGCGTCACTCCACAGAGCACTTAACTGTAAATAATTGGCACGCCTGTTTTTCACGATTATTCTTCTTAATGCTCTTCGGTCGGCATTTGTGATATTACTTTTTTTCACATATCGTGGCTTAATATTAACTGAACCAGTTACGTTATATCTTCTAACAATATTTCTCACACTGTACCGCGATAAGTCTAACAAAGTTGCAATTCCTCAGTTTGATTTCCTAGAATTAAAAATTTAATTATCAGTAACCGAATTTTCTCACTAATAACCTTTCCTCTACCCATTTTGAAAACCTTAACTACCCAAAACTATTTTAAATGTATTCTGACAGCTGTGATTAATAAAAACAATTGTCATGGCTTTTATTTTTCACAGCCACCTATGCGTTATAGACTTATTTTGCATTGAAATGAAAATGGGTTGATATACTGTAATTGCAACATGTGTTATTTTTATGCTGCAAATTTGATTAGGGAGTGATAAAGTTGGTGTTTTCTACTATATATTATGCTACATTTTTATTATTTGTGTTTGATAAGAAATAAACTAAGATTTCAATAGTTGGGCCAACTGAAGTGGCAAGGGGCTCGTATTGTATCTATTTTATTATGGTGTTTTGTTCAGGAGACAATTCTGAACCGCTTCCTTCTCTAAGAGTAAAGTTATGTTACATACAGAAGCCAGAATGTTTCCGAAGAGCCTAGATGTATTGAAAACAACTCGTGCATTTAAATTGGTATGAGACTCTACGGGGTGTCCCAATATTTCATGAACATGGAAGTATGCACCACGTATTTTGAGACTCAAGATAAATGGGACATGATTTACCTCTATGCAAAGTGCTTCGTTTGCCAGTTACAGGGCGTATAAGTTTTGTTTTTAAAACATATCTTTTCAGGTATTTCTGGAACCGATAGTAGGATTTGAGTGAAATTTGGAGCACACCTGTTTTGCTGGACGTCATAATATTTGACTTTCACAAAAAACCGCACGCGTGACATTATGCAGATTTTTTTTGACATTATGCTGTTTTTTTTTTTGAAATTATGTAGGTTTTTCGCCAAGACGTTGACTTAGCACTTAGTTGTACCGTGTTGCCTAAACGTCATGACGCTTGTTATCAATCATTGGCTCTGATGTGATGTAAAATCTGCTTCTGAGATGGCATTACTGGAGGTCTAAGCTGTAAGCTGTAAGTGTTGATGATAATTACATGAGGTTTTTGTCTCAAATACACTTAATTGAGCTTCAAAGCTAGAAATTAGTTACGCATCCACTTTTTATTATTCATTCTGGAAATTACATATACAAATTTGCTAAATTTCAAAAATGAGAGTGATAAGAAATAATTATATTCACTGTACACTGTCGAATTACAAGCCATATACTTGCTAACAGTAATTACACACAACGCGGGCGCGGTGATGATTTTCCGTAACTCTCCTCAGTTTTTCGTTATTTATAACTTTGAACATAACCTCTCTTCGGGAAGCACAACATAAAAATAACCCGTCGGGCACAGCCAATAGATATACTTCATTGGCAGCATATTCAGTAATGATTTTCTCACACAGCAAATATCACTGATTTTATACACATGCAGAGCAATACACATAATCATCCAGATGCGATCTTGCTATTCAACCAACTTTCTTCTCAGAGATAAAAACTACAGACAAGGACCATTTGGCCTTACAAAAGATATGCAACCAATAATGCGTGTAGTTTAGTTGAGTGATTCCTCCTTAGATGGACGTTCACACTAGGATGAGCAAACGCGGAATGACTGTTTCGCAAGATGACATCTTATAGGTTTTTTTTGACGTTTCATAGGTTTTTTACATGATACCCGTGCCGAAAGGGTTCAAGATGAAATTACCACCACCCATACATAAATCATAGCAGAATTTTTTCGCAACTCTACCCCGCGACTCTTAATTCCTTTTATTTATTTATAATATAAACATAGACCATCTCGCACAGTCTTCGATAAACATTTTTTTTATCGGAGCCGGTTTCTAAAAAATGAATACCTACATCTAGTGTTAAAATCTAGTTGGCGGAAATGTGGGATGTTCTGTCAGTGTCAGATTATTTTTGGCAAGCTTCATCAAATTAATAAGAAATTTTTGAGTTTATTTTTAATTGTTGCTTAGTTGTTTGTTCTTCATAAATTTTGACTAAATTAAGGTTTATGACTATTTTTATTTGTTGTTGTTGCTTGTTTTTCTCGTGAATATGGAATATTCTTTTGACAAGCAGATTGCTATTTTTTTTGTACTAGTACACGGTCTTGGTAAAATTGGTCGATTCCAACTACTGAGAGTCCAGGATGGGAAACCGCGACAAACCCGAATACCGCTAGCGGAAGAAGCTGTTCTTGAAGTGGTCAAAGAAGATCCAGTTGCCACTCGCAGATTAGAACATGAACAAGGAGTCCAAAAAGGCGCTGTTAACTGGATTTTAAATGAACAATTCGTTCTTTTCACATTCAGCCTATCCAGGCGTTATTGTCAACTGACCATAAGTAAGGTTTAGGATTCGTATAAAATGTATCAGAACGCAGAACAGCTGATAGGTCGTTTCACAAGAAAAGTTTGTTTACAGATGGGTCATGTTTTACTCGCCGTGGTACGAGAAATTTGCATAATATACTTGTTTACGCTGAAGAAAATCCGCATGCAGTTCCAGAAAGACATTTTCAATGGGAATTTGAAATTGACGTTTGGATAGGGATTATTAACGTTTTAGCAGTAGTTGATAGCTATCCTCATTTTCTACAATACGTTTTACCTAAATTATTCGAAGAACTGCTTTTTAATGTAAGAAGAGACATGTTTTGTTTTTATGCATGATGATACTCCACCAAATTGTTTGAACGAGAAATTTTATGGTACATGGATTGGTCAAGAAACTCAATAATCTCGTTTTCCTTGCGATTTTTTTTATGGGGAGCATTAAAAACAAAGATCAGAAAGACAATGTCAATCAACTATGGGACATGATTCAAAATACTGTAAATACATAAAAGAATGACATCTTAGAGAAAGTTAACTACAATCTTTTGCTTCTTACTGTCATGTGCAGGAACAAAAATGGTGGTCATATTGAACACATTTTACGAAAGATTCGCACTATTACCTGTATTAAATAAAATTGTAATAAGTAATATCAAACTTATTTATTTTCGCTAACTAGACAAAGAGTTAAAATACGATGCTTTGGAACTTCTTGATGCAACTCATTTTTTTTTCTCGAAAACTATCCGAGATGGCCTGTTTCTATAAAAGACAAAAACCGATGTAAATAAAAATATCTGCTAAATAAACAAATTAAGAGTCGTTGGGAAAGTTGCCAAAAAATTCTTCTATAATTTATGTAGGGGTGAGAGTAGTTTTCATCCTTCTCGAACCCTTTAGAGTTTTTCGTAAAAGTCAAGTAAAACGCATTTCATTCAAACCGGACTACAGATTCAAAAAATATCTGAAAAGATGTGTTTTAAAAAGAAAACTTTTACGCCATCTTACGGGCAAACAAAGAACTTTTGTATTGAGGTAAATCAGGTCCAATCGATTTATTTTGAGTCTAGAAATACATGGTACTTCTCAACGGCGGATCCAGGATTTGTGTCTGGAGGGGTCACACTGGTCAAAAAACCCTTAGGATACAGCCTAAAAGTGATTAAAATAATAAATCTAATTTATAAATGAACAATTTATTGTTAAATAACAAAATTAATTCTTCTTTTTTGTCTTCCTACGAATCGATTAATATTACTACATACTTACCATGTCCTTTGAATCCACTGCAACAACTTTTTGTGGTTTTATCCGTCACAGTGGCGGATTTAAGTAATGGCAAAATGGACATTGCCGCCTGGGCCCCCCCCCCAAGGTAGAGTGGTCTCACAGGGCCCCCCAGCAAAAATCAGCTCTAGTGTCTATATTGTTCAGCGCGTTTGAATGTAAAATTAATAACAAGAAATCAGAGTGTTGTTATATTCTTTTAATGACCATGTTTATGAAACAGCGCGTTAGCATTCAGTTTGAATAAGAAAATTTCCCTTTCATTTCTTAAGAATTCTTTTGAAAAATGACTATTTCATTTCTAAAAAAATGTTACCGAATGACCCTTTTATTTCTCGAGGAGTGGAGGGGTTTCATTTTGTGCTTACAGTGATATATTATTACCTGACATAAAATGTTCAGTAAATAGATATCTTCGTGGTATGAATCACCCTCTTTCAGTCTAGAAAGACTCAAATGCGTCTATTACAGTCTTTTCACGTCTTCAATGCTTATAACCATAAACTTTCACAATACTGTGCATTTTTTTATTTGATGACATATCTATTTTCTTCATGATAATCTCGTGGAAGAAATTTTTTGAATGTATTATCTATTGCATAGAAGATGAAGAGTGGGAGCTTCTGGCGAAGATATAATGAATGCAAGATCTCTCCTTTCCTCCATGAACTTCACCTTTTTCCTCAATTTTTTATGGTGACATTCGTTATTGAGCGTAATGACTAATGTGCCAGTTCAAATGCAAAAGAAAGAAATAGACTTGATGATGGCTCAAAGGTGTATTTCAGCAGCATTAAAAAAATTAAAAGATTTGAGGAGCGAAAGCACATACGATAATTTTGTTCTGAAGGCTAAGAATAAATGGGAAGAGATGTAATGGGAAAATCCTGGTTTTCCCATTGTCAGAAACACGAAAATCAACAAAAATGTTCGAAAAAAAGCTGCTGACTCGCCACTGGAAACACACGAAAAATATCGAATAATTTACTACGAAGTTTTGGATTCAATGAGTAACGAATTGCAAGAACGTGCAGAAGGATTTCGTGAAGAGAAATTAATCAATCTAAAAGAAAACGAATTAGAAACCAGCGTCACATTTGATGGACAAATATTCGGAATTTTTCACTACAGATCTAAAATATGAATCAGCCAGTTTTACAAGCATGTATTTTTCAGAAAATCGTAATTTTAGTAATGACAGCCCGCTAGATTATTTGAAGTTCATGACTGCAAACAATTTTATAGACAGTTTTCCAGATATCTGCTGTTCATTCAGATTGTTTTTGACTTTGCCTATCGGTTCAACTAGTGATGAACGTGTCTCATGAGCCCTTTGAAGATTATTAAATAATACCGTCGAGCTTCTTTGGCTGAAGACACACTCAACAACTTCTCTATCCTCTATATCGAAAGATCAGTAGCTAATACACTCAATTTGGATTCTGCGATGGAAGTTTTTGCTGAACGAAAAGCAAGACGCGGATTAAAATTAGAATAAGTCTGTTATTTTGTATTGAATAAAAAATGTTTGATCCCACAGTCTCTACTTGATTCATGTTATATAGACATATAGTAAAAAGACAGAGGTAACAGTGCGCAGCAGCTACTATTGTGCATATAATTGTAAGCCCCTGTTAATATGTGACACCCTTATTGCCAGCAAAATCGGTAGTTGGATGGATTTTACGTTATCGAACAATTTTAGATCCGCGTGAATATTGAAACAGTTGAATTAGCTATTTTCTTGGCACGTTGAAGCAGCATCAGATTAACTTTTTGCATCAAATTACTATTAAAAAACCTTTTGCACTATCCATGAGCTTGTTTCGGTTACTTGTGCAGGTTTCTCTAATTTTTTTATTCTCAGTTGCCGTCATTAATTTGCAAATAGCGATAAATGTGGAGAATATCACTTTCGCAAATAGTACCCAGTATATAAATATATCCTGTAGTAATGCACGTTATTTAACGTATTTTAGTGTTGTTCGTCAAGTTTGTATTCAATGAATTATTAATCACGGTAAACAATAAACATGACAACAACTATCGATCATATTTGTTTTTTTTTCTTACTTATAATTTTATTCAAATCCTATAAATAGCGTGCACTCCAAATTTGACTCGACGACCTTTACTTATCGGTAGCATCCGTGATAACTTTTAAACTCTATTATGCACAAGAAGTTGGCTGGTGAATCATCAAGTTTAATTTACTTAAAAAATTACGATGCGCATTACAACCTATCCTGTGCCCGTGCGCACTATTAAATGCAAAAACCAGTCCGATGTACGATTGCACTAATATGACATTACGCATTAAATTTTGATATTAATTTCTGAGTTATCATGCAAATTTCAAAGTTTCCATTGCCGTATTTTATGTGTCAATAATTGCAGCACCCCCCCCCCGATCATACCACTTGCCCCCCCCCCCCCAATGCATATTGTTGCCCGGGCCCTTTTCCTTAAATCCTGGTCCGTCAAAATGTATTTTTTATCAAATTTGCTCTCAGCTTAAGTGCGCGCGAAAAAGTTTTTCCTACATGAAGCTGACCGCATAGGCAACCAGTCTTGCGCTACCATCCATGAGCTTACAGTTAAATCAAAGTTGACGGATGCAGTGCTGCCAGTGTTTAGTAGAAAATACCAGTACAGCATCCAAATTAGTGGTCGAACTATATTCGCCTGGGGGGGGTCATGACCCCCATGACCCCCCCCCTGGATCCACGCTTGGTACTTCTATGTCCACGGAATATTGGGATACCCTGTATAAAAGACCTAAACTCCTTGCTTAATTCAGTAAATATGCCATAAGTAGCCCAAATGAATTTGTGAACAGGCAGCAAGAATACTTGATAGGCGAAACCTTTTCTAATTCATTTGGAGCAACGAAAACGCAAAAGCTTTCATGGAAGTAGTTCAGAAGAAATGATACCAATGCACCACAGATGCTTGATGCACACGATTACTACATGGTAAACTCCATCTCGAAGTTGTGTAGATTTATTAGAATGTATGTCCGTTTGAATCGCAATGAGATACACTATCCAGTCTTGTTTCAAGGAGGGATAAAAGTTGCCTCCTCTACTTTTTCTAGATTTACTTCTAGATATAAAAGCAATAAAAAATAACATAATTCATTTTTCAGGAACACGGAAGACATAAAGCGTGACGACCAAGATTTGCAATCTTCTTCCCATAACGTCCTTACTTTCGATGGAGAAGTGATGGCGGTCAACGGAAAACTTCTAGCAGGTCATACGTATATAGGAACCGAAGGGGAGATAGACCAAACATCCGTCTGTTCTTGCAATTGTTTGGGACTAAATCACGTGGAGAATGAAGAGCTTCTATTGGATGGCAGCTATCACCCGTCGCAAACCATCCTAAACTCTAGCTTGAAAGTGAAGAGGGCGTCCGTATGACAACATACTGAAGCACTGGAATTGGCAGCGTTGGAATGAAATTACTCAAAATAAACGCATTAGTATCATATGAAAATGTCTCATTTCGTGAATAAAATATTGGAATGGTTGTGTTTCACACATTAGATATGTTTCTTCTCGTACTAAGATTCTCTGCTATTCTCGATGGAAGTTTTCGACAGATCGCTGGAGGAATTTAAGGATGTAAAGGCAGATATTTTGGTTCGATTAATAACTCCGCCTGCACAAAAGTTGTTACTGAGCGACAAAAAAGCTACAAACATACCGATAGATGGGACCGACGGAAACAGGTTTATGACTTTTGCAGAAACCAAATAAAGATTTTAATAGCGCTTTCCACAAGATGTAAAAGGCAAACCGTTCACGTAAGCTTTCAATGATGGATAATGAAGATTCAGTCAAGAAATATTCGAATACTCCCTGTAGTTCCCAAGTGAAGTTTCTCGTTCACCCTTGTAACTGTGGTTTCCGAACATACACGAAGTGCTCTTCGAGTGTTTCCGAGAGGTGCATATGCAAGCCTCTTGATTTGTCAACCTTTACGTTGCCACGCTTCACCCATTTATCCTGAGTTAACCTGATTTCGCTCCCCCTCGTCAAAGATAATAGTACAGTTTTTGTATTTAAACACAATGTAGGAATAGAGGCCCATAGTAATGTTGCCAGGTCCGATTTATTTCAAAATCAGGACAGATGGTAAAACAAATCTGCGTTTAGGGTTGTAGATCGGGATAAACAAAAAACAAGATGTTTCAAAGTTGAAGTTTAATTTGTTATGTTTTGCAACTCGTGTACGAGAGAGATTCGCGAGAAGCGTGCAATACGGGTGTTAGGAAGAGATAGAAGCACCTGGTAGTCTAGCAATCCAAGTGACGAGGCCACGGACGCCATCGGCGCACTCTTTCTAATATGAGTGTACATACTGCGCACTTCTCTCTCGTACACATCACGACCTCAGCGAAATTTGTTCACCGAATATTGGTTATGAAGACGGCTCATAAGCTCATGTTAAATTATTAAATTTTTATTAAAAATATATTTTTCGTTAGATTTTGTTGTTTTTAGCCTTATCTTATTTTTTATAACGTAGTTACAAAGTTCACTGAAAAACATAACAATAACAAATAGTTGGTTCAAATTTGTATTTCTGTTTTAACATGCTCGACTGCTAAACCGTTTCGTCTCTCAGACCAAATTAAGTTAGCATGGGAAAATACCCTTTCCGTTACCACGTTTGAACCGATATTGAAACCATAAAAGAAAATTGAATATTTGTAAAGTTTCGGTCATCTTTAAAAATATTATCATTTTTGTAGCGGCGTCAAGTCTTTGTTTTGCACTGCTATCTCACTACTTCTTTGACTACTACTTTACTACAATATTGATTTATCGGAAGATTTGGTGTACCGATCAAGTGTAAATCAGGACGCGTTACCAGACCCCTGAAAAGCATAGAGTTGATATAGGGCACCTGTATGGTTCAGGAGAAGAAATAACGTGACGATTTTGGAAACATAAATGTTATCTAACTTTGGGCCCCTAAAGCACGTTTTTGGGCCCCCTTGAGTCCCGGGGCTCGACGCACAGTGCGTCATTTGCGTGTGCGTCATCCTATAGTCTAGTACCTAAACGACAGAGAACAGTGAGCAAAACACATCGTACGCCACAGTTATCAATGCGTGTATTAGGAAAGGGTGGGATTCGAGCGCATTTACTTTCCGATTTAAAGGTTTAGCCGCGCTAGGAGTACCGTACGATGGATATACTACTTTCCTCCGTTCTGGTATCCAAAGAAGCTTATTTGAGTACAAAATGTTCCTGAACCACATAAAACGTGACAAGTGGATCCAGGGAGTTTCGAGCGAGAAGGTTAAAATTGAGCACCTTAGGCTTAGAATTTGAACATTTAGGAGACTTGGAGAAACATTTTTTTTCACGATAATCCAGTACCAGTTCTAAGAGATTTGAAAGTTGTACCCTAAAAAATCATGTCTACTGGCATTCTTTCTATTCTTGTTACTATAGATCAATGGCGGAACTAAGGGCCGTATCGTCAGTCGTCCCTACAATTGTAGGGCGCCTTTATGGCCTCCTTCATTGTCATAGTTTTCTACTTCTCCGTGTCAGCGCTCTATTTTGAGGTTATGTCACAAACATCTATTTGCATCAAATTGTGCTTGCTTTTGAGTTATATCGTGTTTCATCAGCCTGAAATTTCCTACAATATAAAAAGAAAACATATCTTTACAATAGGAGAGCGCTGACGCTGACACGGGACAAGTGTAATCTAGAAATTTTTGAAGGAGAGAAAGCAGTATGACAATCAAGGAGGCCATAAACGCACCCTACAATTGTAGGGACGACTGACGATACGGGCCTAAGGTATTTGAAAGTTGCACTCCAAGATATCCTTGCCAGATTTGTTCTGTTCTTATTTAGGATATGGCAATGCTGAATCCAGAGGGTTGCATCAAGAAAAACTCCTTTGACAGCTTTTTATTTCTCGATGGATCAAACCTAGAAACAGAGGATCTCGACATTGTGTCCAAAAACAGTTTTTTTCTGTTTTATTTACAATATGACCTGGATGGATAGTCGGGTGAATTTCAATTTGGGAATATGTCCAGGGAGGGTGTAGCGGTGGTCGCAGCATTCAGGAGCTGGGGGTGACGGCTGTACGCTTAAGCACTTGGACAACTCTTCTGAGAGCAAATGATCTTGTAATAATTAAATAGCGGGGAAGGATACGCCTGGATGGCACCCGTCTCATGGTCTAGCAGGGTAATTTTTACACTAGGATATCGCAAGTGGAATCCATGTACTACTGACGTCGTAATGTGTATGAGACAGAAGCGCGAGAAGCGTATGCTAGAAAGAGTGCTCCGATGGCAACTAGGCAAGCTGCAGCTGCGTCTGTGGCCTCGTCACTCGGGTTGCTAGGCTACGTGGTGCTTTTATCTGTATACACTACGACGTCAGTGGTATATGGATTTCACCGTTAAACATTATTTTTTTTTTGATAAAAATGATAGACTTGGGCTCTGGGTGGCGGGGAGGTGATGCTCTCACTTCCCTCTAAATCCTCCAATGGCTGGATATAGACGATTTGGAAATATGCTCCCTCATAACTCAGGTGTACTGAATGTTTTCTTTTCTGCAATCAGCAGCTTTGCCGTAATTTGGGACCTAAAAAAATCCTTGAAAAGTGTTTTATTCGTGTTCACGATAGAGCATGCAGAACCATATCCCAGGAATTTGGGTTGCACCCTATGAAATCCTGGGTGAATTTGTTGTTATCGCTTACGATAAGATCGATGTGGATTCAAGGGTGTATGTAATAAATCCTGGAAAACAGTGTCTTCCTTACTTTCTGCATTTGTATGGATAGCAATGTTTTCCTGGGCTATTGGATGGTGAAGGAGGGACAGATAATTCAATTCGCCTGCACCGGCAACGTCGCTGGAGCTTGGAACGTGCGCGGTCCGTTTCTTGAGCTTTCAGTTCAGTTCAGTCAGTTCAGTTCAACCAACTTTTTTGGGAGTAAGGTTATTGTGGGTCGACGTCGCTTTTATCGCCTCCTTGTATAAACAGTATTTGTTGTGTTAAAACCATCTGTGTGGTTTAATGTGGTGTTTCGAGAGTGTAACGTGACGTAACAGACGGTTCGGCCGTAGACACTGCCAGTACGAAAATAATCTCATTGGATTCTCACTTCATTTATGCTTTTCCAGGGAGGAATTGAAAAGGTAAATATTTTCTTTTGAATGAGAATGAGGTTAAACATTAGCACCTTACAAGGTTTGTAGAGCTTTAGTTCGCTGAGATGATCAGTGACACATCATGTGTGATAAGTTGTTCGCTATTTGTGAAAACAAATGACAAAAAGAAAACAAGTGAATGCTGTATTTGGGTGATCCTTCGAATGATCTTTGAATGTAACACCTACGAAACTAGCACTTGTTTTTAAGTGAACTAGATCCCTACAACATAGACCATACTAAGAAATGTGTATAGTATGAAGAATAGAGTTGTGTACCCGGTAGGTTGTAAGTTGTAAGTTGCCAAAATCGATTAGACAGCCAGCTGGGAAAGTGGAAGTTGTGCAGATCTGCAGATATTTACCGGTATTGTGTGTTGCCTACATGTGACCGTTCTCTTCACAGGTGGAATTTTTGTTTATAAATTAAACGTAGATGAATTTTGTAGTCTGGTCTGGTTTTTTCAATTTGCATTACTGGACCTCGACTATCAAAAGCTTAATTTATTCATAAGTTAAAATATGTGTAGCGTCTGGCAAGCCCAAACATCAATTTCTCAACCATAATAAAATATGATCTTAACATCGTGATTTGAATGATTTTATTTCCAGAATGTCCGGAAAACTGAAACACATTCAGCACGTAAAAACAAATCTGGAGGCACATGGTTTCGATGATATGGAATTCTCAGACTTTAGCGAAAAATTGTTCGCCACTAGATTTTGAAAAAACAAGTGAGGTTTTCTCAAAGTCATTTACCTGCATAGACTGTGCTTGGCGTCATAGGCGCCAATATAGCAAAATTCAGAGGGAATCAGGTTGGCCTTGCAGGCCTAGTCAACCAGCTTATTAATATTTTACTCCTCAAGCAGCAGCCTAGGAAAGGATTTGCCCCCTCTTGCCCACCCTCCCTAATGGACACTCATGTCCCGGTATTTTCGTTCGCAAAAAAGTGTCAACAATAAATAGATTAATGCACTGGTTAATAAAACAATTTGTATTTCTGAAGGAGGAACTACAAGATGCAGTTTTCAGGTAGATTCGGTTAGGGTGACATTACTTATCTTTTTGCAAAATCAGGACTCGCACTTTTTTATCGGTAGACCCCAGCTTGACGGGTTCCCCAAAATACCCGGTGATCAAACGAAATTTGAAAGCAATATTTGCGTACCCGCCACTGCCCTCTGTATGTGTAGGAGCGGTTACATAGCTTAAATATAAAGGTTGTCCGGCACGAACACCACTGATGTAAGTGCTTTAGAAAATAATTTTTAACAGGTTGGTGAGAATATTTTTGCATGTTTCAAAACTCATTTTAGAGAAATGGAAGGCGACCTATCAAAGCAAGCTTAAATACCCCCACATTTATAAAAATGATGCATTCTTGAACCTATGCTTCTATGTACTTTTTTATATTTTGTTGATTCTGCCTTTCATTTTCCTTGACAACATTTTGTAAGTCACTGTAGAATTTAGCTATGCATGGTACATGTACTTTTCTCTTGTAACCAAGCGCATATTCTAAAAATACTTTCTTTCTCTTTTGCCTGCCTCAAGATGAATTGGACCTTCTACAATTCTGCAAGCATCTTTCTATTAGTATTTTATGACCTGTTTTATGGGTGCTGCAACGACGCCAAGGGGTACTTCTGCGAAAATGTGAAAATTAGTAGTGGTATGACTCATTGGCTGTAGGACTGTACTTGGTTTCAGAAATACCCAGGTACCCATATATCTATCAAGAGAATAATTGAATTTTGGCCAATTGACAAGCAAAAGCGTTACTTTTGACAAACAATAACAACCGAGATTCAAACATATTAAATACACGAAGTCCGCACCTGTACAGCAGGAGCGGACTGGCCCACTGAGTCTGGGTAAAATTAAACAAGCATATTTTGTCTGTTTGCTTTTTGTTTCTGTACTCATCACCAACCGTGAAGAGTATTGTTTCATGCTTTCCTAGTGCCGTGTAGGTCTAGCGATTTGGAGGCAGATGACGAAAAGCAAACAAGTGAATATTGATCCACAAAAAAACTCCCGATATGCGAAAAATAAAGGTGACACTATGAAATTTTGTTGTCCGTCTCTGCAAACTTAACCAAGCGTTTTTAAAAAGGATGTTTCTTGGTAGAAGTACAGGTACAAAACACGAATGTTGCATTACTGAAGTGGTACCTACTAGGTATTTATATTTTCTTTATCAGTACCTTAACCGTTTACAAAGTGCAAGGGCGTAACTACTAATGGCACAGGCCATCCTGTGGTGATATTACAAGACTCCATCCGGTAACGGTAACATCAGACGCTATGACTAGCATGTTGTAGTGGTTCCATAACTTACACTAGACCTATACCATACTTATGATTGCTAATGAGGATGAAACAGTGTTTGTTGTATACGGTTAGTTGTGGCAGGTCCTATTCAGTCTGTATTCAGCTTATGGTAGGGTGGTGTGTACTTAGGGCTCCCCTGAGTGACAATGACTCGCATATGTGGTGGATGTCTTTCTTAGTTTTGTTAGAAGCGGACTCTGTCATTCAGATATGCCGGAAAAGTGTGGTTTTCTGCTACCGTACGTAGGGATCCGCGATACCGTGATTGACAAAACTGCACGCAGGTGGCAGTGTCACCTTTATTTTTCCCACCAAATTTTCGTCATCCTATTAAAATATCAATATTGTTTCAAGCTCATTAAAATTTTACCAAAGGAAAAAGCTATAGATATTTATGTAACTAGGGCATAAAGTGGGAATACCGGGAATTTTCGTTTTTTTGAAGAAATAGTTATTAATTCGTCTACATTAACGTTGTCGCCTTCAAAATAATTCTCATTAGATATTATGTATGTACTTGTGTCAGTGCTTATTCCAATCCTCGGAATTCTTGTCAAATTCGATCTTTGAGATAACGTTTAGCGCTTTCAGGGATGCTCATTCAATGTCATGTATGCTTGTAAAAGGACGGCCCTTTAGGGTTCTCTTTATTTTTGGAAATAGAAGAAAGTCACAAGGAGCCATGCCTGGCGAATATGGACACTCTGGAGCATTGTTACAGAATTATTTTTGGCCTTACAGAATTGTTTTTGGCCAAAAATTCACGAACAAACAATGAAGGTGGGTGCAGATGCATCATTATGACGCTATTGTTAATCCGCATATTCGGTGCAGGTTGCTTCACGTAGGTAGTACCCTTACTGATCGTTTGACCTCGTGGCAAGAAGCCACTGAGCACAACCTTCACGTCTGACTGCACTTTTCAGGTCCTGGCGAGCCAGGATGCCTTCACTAGAGCGATTGATCCTCAGTTTCGACGACTTTAGTGAATCCTGGGCAACTTCCAATCAACGCTGTTTTTGTTCAAAATTCAACGATTTTGGAACAAATCTTGCTGCTACGCGATTCATACCCCAAACATTCTAAAGAATTTCATGGCACGAGCCAATCGAAATGCCAACAACATCTGCGACTTTTCTGTTTGGTTGTTCATGTGCTGGGATATCCGGGGCGTTTATATGTTGAACTTCTTCACGACCATCTTGGAAACACTTGTACCAATCGTAAACTCTTCTTTTACTCATAGCCAACACACCATAGGCCTTTGCTAACATTTCACGCACTTTGTTTCAGTTTATTCATTTTTTACGCAAAAATTTAAACAAGTTCTTTGATCCATTCCTTTTAACAAACGTAAATCGCCGAGCTCACAAAAACATGCCTGACCTTAGACCTGCCACAGACAAAGTAAACAATATATACATACAAAAATTTCATCATACTTCAAAGGCATGTATCCCAACATAATAAAAAAAAAGAGAGAATCAATCTTTCCAAACCCGCGAAATCAGACCGCCAAGCAAAATCCGCAGCAAATCTAGTACTACATCAATCGTAAGCATTCCAGCTAGAGATGTGAAGTCTTTCCTCAGGAAAGGACTCATTGAAGCCTGGAACAACAAATAGCAGGACAATCCATCAAGGCTACTAGAACCAAAAGCCAGATTCGGAACTTGGACTAGAAATTCTACAAACAGAAGGTACCAAACCACCTTGCTCCGTTTATGCGACATCCGGATTACCCATGGACCCAGGAACGAGAACCCATGGGCAAAGGTGTGAAACTAATCTCGGTGTCAAGCACATACATGTATTAGTGGAAAGCCCGTAATTAGAATACTATACAGTACGTCATTAATATTTTAGCACTAAACTGTAACATAGACAACCTTTTACGCTTCGTAAATTCGTACTATATAAATTATAGTATGTAACGATGTAACCTATACCGCTAATGACCAGTGTAGGTCGATGCGGTTTATTGTATTAAAAAAAAACACGAAATTAAAAAAATCCGGTTATTTTCTAAAGTATAAGTAAATTTTCTAAGTATAAGTATATTGACCATACTATATCACTGCCTGCAGCTTGTTGCATCCGTTGCCTATGCAACAAATTCAGACAGTTCTGGACGACAAACAATGGGTCAGTTCAAATATAGCCGGTGCCCGAGGGCATAAAGAAGTCCATGGGAAGAAAAATAGGACTTAACGCTTGGAAAACCTATTCCGCCTGGTCGTAGATAAACTACTAAAGACACGGTGACAAAAACAGTTTTTACTATGTTTTATTCGCTAAGTCATTAAAAAGCAATACGACGTTCTCAACTGCGGTCACAGCCGCAATTATTCATCAATCATCCCTTAGCAAAGCAGCGTGGCGGCGTCAACCCTTGCGGTGGTGTGGCAACATTGCACCGGCACCGGGCATAGCCACAGCCAACTGTGACAATGACGAATGAGCGGGCAAGCAACCAAGTGACAATCATCGTAAATTTGTGATCGATATTCCCCCGTTGCTGTCGCTGATAGCAACGTTTACACTTTCTTCCCTAGATTTTTGGGGATGCGGTGTAGGATTTCGTATGGTATGTGTCACTCTTACAAGAACAAGTATGATCGAACAAAAGAATCGGAGGAATTAGCTCTTCA